GCCTTCTTCGTCGGCGATCGCATAACAAATTTTAAGGCTTTCGGAGCTTGCTTTATGTTATGGGGATGGAGGTCGAGGTTTCCGGTTCGAATCCCTTGGCCGATGCGAAATTGAGGAGAGCGGATTTGCAGAAGGATAAGCTCCGCGTGAAGCGGAAGACTCTGCAGGCTGTGCTTGAGCAGTGCCAGAGAGCCCTCGAGTCGCTTGATACCACTGGGGGTGCTGACGGCGACTGCGATGGAGATGATAACGGTGAGGATGAAGACGATGATGATGATAACAGTTCTCGTATTGCTGTCGATGACGATGAGCTCCAACAAGGCCGCAGATCGACGAGTTCGTGCCCTGACTGCAAATCCGACGAGGTATGGATTGGGGTTCCGTGTGCGGTTTGAGCTCAATTTTAGGGTTCGATTTTGATTGACTTCTGGTGTTTTGGGGATTTTGATTGACCATACGAAGGAAGCAGTCAAAGGGGGCTGAGGACTGAGGTGTGAAAGGATGATATTACCCTCAGCAGACGACTCACGTGCCTCTCACGTGGTTTTTTTGACGGCCATTTGGATGGAATTGGGGAAAACCTAACGGCAGGGGTGAAATTGGCGATTAAATTTAATACGAAGGTTAAATTGGTTGAAAAACATTTCCAGGGTGAACATTTCAACAGTCGAAATAATCCAGAGGGGTTTTCCGCCATTTACCCTTCTCATTATATTATGCTGCTTGCCTTCATTATGTTACATGTAAACAAAGGGGCGAGCTCAAAATATATTAAACGTAAAATAACCCCAGCATCATATCCTGAAGCATCTTCCTCTGAAACTAATACCAAGCCACACTGTCCCAAGCATGAAAAAACTACCACTCTCTTTTATACGATCAATAGACAAAGAGAAATAGTTTGTTTTTTATTTTCAAGGTTGTTACGAGATTGGTCTTGCAACACTTGTATCCTAAACATAAACTCATCTATTTTTAAACTATTATAAAACAAAATAAAAACCCAAATTGGAATATAGGTTAATACTTGTCCTAATATTACAAAATATTTAGATACACTATGCCATCTACCTTAGTTGTCAAATCTCTTATGTTTAGCATTTATATTTAATTCTTTTTAATTTGGCACCTATTTAATATTGAAAACGTTTAGATAAAAATAAATCAATGAATACATAAATAAAAATTGTAAGTTTATAAAATTAAAAAAAAAAAGATCATTAGAGTTTAAGCTAAATATTTTCGCTAGCTCACCCATTAAAAGCATAGCATAACTAAGATTTCAATAATTAAAAAATGGCTACCATGTGTCTTAGTAAAAGAAAATTAGTTACCCTAGTCATGGGAACAAAGCAAAACTACATGGACAAGGAAATAAAAAAAGATGGAGAGTTACGACTACTCTTCCTTGCTCCAAGAGTGAATAGCGATTTCTCTATGATCTTTTGAGCAAAGTCGACCACTCTTATTTTAAAGGAACCTAAACCCTATAGAAACTGGGCCCTAAACAAGTGATCTTACACGAAAACTTAATTGCCAAGTTGTGTAATGGATATTTCAATTCATCAACCTAAAATTGATGAATTGAGCTATCAATTAGAATTTGGGTACCTCAAACCCCCAAACTAATTATGTAAAAGATCCATTATTCTTTTTTGAGGCTTTGTTCAGCATATTTCATACTGAAAACTCTCATCCCACATTACATTAACGGTAGGCAAGCTGTGGAGCTCCTCCAAGGCCTATTTCAGTGGAGTCCTCACTTGGCACGCCTGATCAATACAAATCATACGTAATCTGTTCAATTTAATTTTATGGTATCTAATACTCAGTAAGGGAATTTATGCAACTAAAGTAAATTGAACAGATTTTTTTGTAATAGAGTTGACGAAATTGGGCACAACTAGAGGGAGAGAGTTCATGCGGGATCCAGATGCTCTACTTGGATTCTTTCTGTCATGATATGCTTGACTTCTCCCCTCCATGCGCCACCTCATTAAAATTTAAGGCTAAAAGTTACTTTTGGTCTTTGTAGTTTGGCACGTCAGTCACTTTTGACCTTGTAGTTTCAATTCCTTCAATTTTGCCATTGTAGTTTTATATTTGTAGCAATTCAAGGACATGTTAGTATTCTTGCCAATTTCTTTAACAATGGCAATTTCTTCAACCCAAAACCCTTGAGCGTAAAAACTTGTTTGAAATTCTCCCCATTTCATATTAGGACTCGAAATTCAACCACTAATCCCAATTTTTGAAGAACCCTAAACCCAAATGACCAATTTCAAGCCCTAATATGAAATTAGGAGAGTTTCAGACGAGCTTTTATGCTCAAGGATTTTGGGTTGACGAAATTGCCCCTTGCACCATCAAAGAAATTGACAAGAATATTAACTTGTCTTTGAAAATACGAAACTACAGGGTCAAAATGTAGGATGGTTTGGGCTATATCTTATTTTATTATTATTTTTTCAAAAGCAAGCAAGCCTTTTGGATTTTTCAAAAGCCAACAGCTCTTTCCACAAATTATGTAACGCCCGCCCTTGCGGTTCTCTCACGCTGCTGACTCAGATGATGTCAGCTAGCCTATATTTCAAAAAATCCTAAAAATTGTTTTTACTTTATTTTAATTCAAAAAAATTACTAAATTTTTTCTATAAATACCAATCTCATTTCTATATAATTTCTCACTTCTTTTCATCCGTCTACATAATTTTCCACAATTTTTTCATCCATCCTACAATGTCAGGTGTTGAGGCCCAAAAAATCCACGGTTCGGCCCAAATAAATTATCGGCCCAATACAATACCTTACCGAGAAGAAACCCGATTTGGGCACGCAAAAGTTCGTCATATGCGCTTGCACACATGCCACGCCAAGCAAATAAGCAACACGCCACACTACAAGCTTAAGTGGGCCCAAGCCATGCAAGATACCTGGGGCTTGCTTGAGTGGGTTGTGGTATGGATGGTAATAAGTTGACATAAGGCCCATTGATAGGCCAAGAAATGGAAGTTCCGGGGTTGCTTGGGAGCCTCGGAACTCAGACCCATTTCTTAGGCCCAAACATGTAGGTGAGCACAAAGAGAAAATATCCCAACCAAAAAGCCCAATCGAAATAGCCCATTAGCTTAACCAAATTAGCCCAACACCTCAACAGAAAATAGGCCAACACTTGTTAATGTTAGCCCATTTATTTTGACAAACCAACCCATTATCTTAGAAGGCCCATACAATTAGAAATGAAAAGCAGCAAAAGCCTCAGCCCCTTGCTGAAAACACATAAGCCACGAAGGGGAAGTTTGAAGGTCCATTATACAAAGCTATTGGGAGGGAAGGAACAAATTTTCAAGCAAAACATCCAAGGAACCAAAAGATATTGGCACGCAAGGAGCCACCCTTCGAACCAACATGTATACCAATCTCTTTCCTTCATCAGATCTGACCATGAAGGAGGAAAAGAAAAGGAGAAAATGAGATATTTGAAAATGGGAGTTCTGAGGCAGCTGCGGGAAAGGGCCTTGGGCTCCCAAAAATCCTTGATTTTGTGGGATTGGGCAGAGTGGATTTCACCAAAATAGGATGATTGAAGGGATGAGGGGAGAAAGGATGGGAAAGACTTGGCAAAGTGGGATGGAAGCTGTTAGGGTTTCTTGGAAAAAGATGGCTTCCAGCGCCTATAAAAAGAGGCATTTCCTACTCATCATCACAACACACAACTGGAGAGCAAGCTTCCTCTCTCACCTGCAAAACTCAGTAATTTCGTGCTTTGCTTGCCCATCTCACCCATTTTTCTTCTTCTGGCAGATTGTTCCAACACTTGACAGAGTCTCTGTCAAGCTGCCGGAAGAAACAATCAAGCCACCCATCCCTTTCTCTCCCTCCTTTCTCAGCCAAATCTTCTTGCAAACATTCCCTTTCTTACCTTAACACTCCCCTTTTCCCCCAACTACGCATAATTTTCTCTTCGATGCTAAACTCATGTCGATTTTGCTCCCATGCCACAAGCTTCTCATGCCAAGCCAAGAATTTATCTGCCCGTGGTAGCTGCCGGAACGAAAAAAGACCCTCACAAGCTTAAATGTCAAAATGGTCCATGTGTTAGCTGCCGGAACGAAAAAAGACCCTCACATGCTTAAATGTCAAAATGGTCCATGTGTTTTACCTTATTGGCCAATTTAATCCCCGTGTTATCAATTTGGCCAATTTAGTCCCTATGTTTGTATATGTTAGCAAATATGATCATTTCCATCAAAATTTTGTTAAAACTGGAAGAATTTTTTAAAGTTTTCTCTTCGGTGCTAAACTCATGTCGATTTTGCTCCCATGCCACAAGCTTCTCATGCCAAGCCAAGAATTTATTTGTAAGCAGCCATTATTTTCGTTGGTGAAGGTAACCAAGGTGTTTCCTAAGGCTTTACAACCATTTCGAAACATTTTAGGGTCTGATCTTTGAACTCAGACACAAGGGGGAAATTTCAGCCATTTTGCTCCTTACGGTGGCCCATCCCATCTATAGCTGCCGGAAGAAAAAGACCCCTACACCAGGAGATGATGCTTATCTTTTCTAATTTGTTAGTTGTTTTTAAATTATACAATATATTTAAAGAATATACTATAAACTAATGAAAAAATTGAGGCGTCTATGATTTAGCCTAACACTGCTTGTGACGGTAAAAATATAGCCCATTACTACTATTCCTTACAAAACTATAAATGATGGGCTAAATTTTATGTGTGCTATATTTAACCCTCCACTATTGGAGATGGCCTTATAATTCATTTGATTATATTTTAATGAGGTGGCATATCAAGGGAAGAAGTCAAGCAGATCATGGCAGAGAAAATCAAGTTGAGGATTCGGATCCGTTTAGGAGGATTAATTGAGGCAAAATGAGGTAAAATGAGAACGAAGTTATAATTGGGGGCAAATCAATCGTTAAGCCTAAACAAAAGCACAAAACTAAAGGTAGTTTAAAATTGAAGTTTAAGAAAACACGGAATACACGCTTCAAATGTGAATCTTCATTTGTCCATCAGTCTCACGCCTGCAATAACACACCACGTCTGATCTGTTCGAATTTAAACAAAGTGGTAAACTCAAAAATACATTCAAGTAAAATAACCCCAACATCATGAGCTGAAGCATCTTCCTCATAAACTATTACCATGTCATACTGTCCCAAGCATGAAGAACTACCGTTCTTTTACCTACACTCACTTTGATTAGCATCAACAAACACCAGCAGAGCTAAATAATGTATGACTGTGATTCTACATTGTCTGCGAAACCCCCGCTGTTGCAATAATCCAAAAAAACAAAAACAAAAACAAAGGTGCATATGTTAGGATCAACTTGTCCATAACAGAATGATAAATAGATTTCATTCTTATCAGGAAGCTATGTACAATTCCCATATAATGTATTCCTATCACCCATAAAGACAACACTAGAGGCTCAAAAATCACAACTCAAAGATACCAAAAAACATCATTACAGAAGTATCATCAAGGCCTCAAATACCTTAAAATAACCTCCAAGACAAAGACACCTTTATTAGATTTAGAAACACAGAATATCAATCCTACAGGCACTACAAACTGCTATGTGTGTTTTCAGGGGTTTCATCAGTGAAGGCACTGAGAAGAAGGAGAACACTCTTTGGAGATGTGCCATCTTGGCTCTTTTATGGTGTGTGTGGCTGAAACAGAATAACAGAATCTTTGAAGCCAAGGAGGAGGTTGTGGAGTCAATCTGGGAGACGATTAGACACTTTGCTTCTCTGTGGGTATCTTTGCCTAAACATTTTTAAGACTTTTCCCTTAGAGAAATTCTTCTTGATCCCTCTTGAAAAAAACAAAAAAAAAGTCTTCTTGATGGAGGGTGGAGTGTTGGACTGAGTGTATCTTGGAAACCTCCAGTTCCTAAGTTCCAGTTTTCCTGCTTCTGATATTTGGCTCTTTAACAGTTTTGTTCATGTCTACTAGTTTTTATGTTCTGTTCTTGTAAGCTGAGGGTACTTTCTATGGGCTGCTAGTCCACTTTGATTGTACTCTTCACCTTATTAGTACAACTATTGTGTTTCCAATAAAAAAAGAGAGGAATTAAACCTACAAATTGCAAGCAGAATGGAAAGAGAACTCAAAATCCATGGTTCTAAAAATATTACAAATGATTCTCTTTCAATTAATGATCACTGAATTCTGACTTGTGAGTCAACTTTCATAATACAGAGTTATTATTTGGAAATATCATTGATCGAAAATTCACATACAAATCAATTCTTAACAGAAGACAAAAAGAACAATCAATCAAAAGCTGGGTGGAGACAACTTTATACCAGGGTTTATCTGCAACTCAATGGGAAAAAAAACAAAACAAAACAAAACAAAAATACAGTAACTAGGCATCCTATTACTAGTATCAATGATAAAAATAACATTGAAACGTTTAAAATGCACATAGCAAGGTTTGACATAAAGTACCTGGGAGCTCTAACCCTTTGGTAATATCTTTAAGTGAAACAAAGCTTGGAATAAGGTCCCATGCCTCCACAACCATTGCAGGTAACTCATCAACCTCAACCCACACAAGTCCCATTGTTGCCGGAGTATAAGCGTGCAAGTGAGACAAATGTAACACCAAGACTTTCCCTTTCCCAGTAAATTTCAATATTTCAGTACCAAAACAACCAAGTGGGTCTCTAATTTCATGCTCTTTAGTCCAAGACTCCTTCACACCATAATCCTTCATCACCCAAACATTGATTTTAACTCTGGAGCTAATAATGAGGCAGAGCCAACCTTTCAACACTCCAAGTTTAACACGAGTTTTTTTCAGGTCCAAAGAACAAGGCGGTAGTGGCAACTCTCGGAAGTGCTCGCTTTCAATGTCGAAGGCACATATCAAAAGAGAACCCTCACTACGCCGCCGACCAATCCAATGAAGAAACCCTTTGAGATAAATCCCATCATCAGTTATACCAAAAGAGTTGACAGAGCCCCCAATGTCTCTCCAAATCCCAGACCCCACATTTAAAACCATTGCTTGCTCCTCAGACCCTTTGATTGGAGACATAAGCCGGACTACTTTATACACATTACTGATGGGACTAAACCCAAATCCGTACTTACCAGGAGAAGTTCTACAAGGATTAGTGGGTTCTGGAAGAGTTAAAGACTCACCCGTCACGGGATTAGATATGTATAGTTGGTTGCTGACTTCAGAAAGCAACTCGTGGCAGAGGAAGCCATTGCAGGAACCCACAATGTGTATACCCCTACTACTCTGGACATTTGGCTTTATACTGAAAAGCTTCAACACGACGTCGCTCGAAGCCCGGTTCAGGGTCGAAGCCCTGTCGAGGTCGATGAAGAAGTGCCCAGTGTCCTTGGATGTGGGTGTGCGGAAGCCAGACACCAAAAGGGAAGCGGGCGTTCGTGAAAGTAGGTCTCTGGTGAATTGAGGGTCTGCAAGCCAACAACGCCAAGACTTGCACACACGCTTGCATTGAATGAGCGTTTTGGTTGTGATTTTGCAGAAGATCTGCACCATTAAGTGGTCTGGCAATTGCAGAATGTAGGGTTTCTGATCGTGCTCTTCTTCTCCTTCTTCATCATTTGGGGCTCTGTTTCTGCAGCACAGTTTAGTTTTCTTCATCGTTGAAGCGGTGTCGTTTCTGTACGGACTTGGGCTAGGTCGGAGAAGAGTCTCCTTGTAGTAGAGGAGCGTTCAAGCTAGAAGTGCTCGCTGCAGCAAGAGTCTCCTTGTGGCAAATTTTGAGTGAGAGTACCACTATATGAGGTGGTGATACAGTACCATTTTATAATTTCTCAAGGAGCTGCTCTAATATATGAATGCACAATCACATCAATTAAATTCAAAAGTGTGAATAAATCATAAAAGAAAAGAAAATGTTAAATTAATTTTAATTGATATGGATGTCTATCTCATTTGCTACATAAGGTGATGTGATAATGTGGTATACAAATGTGATGAGAGTAGCATTATTCATTTTTAATTTATAAAGCCTCGTTCTATATTGAATCTGAAAACCAATTTTGAATTTTAACTTGTTTTAACCCTTAGTGGGTAGTTTTTAGTGTCCCTTTATTGTATTTGTACTCTGCTCGTGGCATAATTTATGAATACAATTTACTTCTCTTTTTTTCTTTTGGTCAAAGTAGTTCATTTCATTCAAGGTCTAAAATATCGAGAGTTTCAGAAATATCGGTGGTCCAAAAACACGGATACATCGATGGAAATATCGATATCGATAAAAAATGAATAAAAATCGCGGAAATTGTGAGAAAAATTTGAAAATTTTTATTGAAACTTTAGAGGATGTTTACTTAGTCAATTGCCTATTATTTTATCACAAAAAATTGGAAGAAAATGCATGGCATGGTGGGTTTGAGTGATTTAAGTTGATTATGTAGATACTTGACAAACACTGTAACTTTAGAAAATATGTAGTAATTAGTGAAAGAAAATTAAACACACCATAATTTTTTAGTTATAATAATTTACTACAATACATTACACTTGATACATATGATAAAATATATGAGCTTGACCCAAAAAAATCAAAGATAAAATGTATGAGTAACCTAGTACCACATAGAAAGAATTCCTATTAAAGTTCAAACTTAGTATCATATATAATGAACAATATTAAAACTCGAAGTCAATAATAATACAACTCTATAATTATAACAACAAAAAAATACAACTTCATAATAAAATAATAAATAACATTAAATATATGCCTAAATTTATCCATAGGGAATTCTTTTAATATTGAAATTTATCCTAGATAATATTAGCTTGCAGACATGTTAAAGACCTTATAAATATGACACGCCGAAGACACAATCACAAACTCATCAGCAGTGTGGTGGATAAGGCGCAGTCAGAGCCGGCCCTTGGGGAGGGCAACTGGGGCCTGGGCCCGGGGCCCATAATTGAAAGGGGCACCCAAAAAAAATCAAGTTAAGCCATATATTATATACGTATAGAACAAAACAAATAAAAAAACAAAAAGTCCTCAGAAAAAAATAAATAAATAACTAGGCGTGCATTTTTGTTTAATCCTCCCTTCCCAAAAGCCCGTGCTAACCCATATATGCTAGCAAATATATTATTTTTTAATTCTATCCCAAAAAATAAAAACAAAATAAAACCAGACCATACTAGGGTTTAGATTCTTGTTGTCTCAATTTTCTTATATATGTACCTATCATACCTCACTCACAGTCACACTACAGCCTCTCTCCTCTCCATCGCCTCTCTCTTTCCCTATCCTTTCCTCTCCATGACAAAAGAGAAAAGCCAACAGAGTTGTAAGTCCTTTCTCTTTGTCTATTTATTCTCTATGTTGCTGCTATTTTCCAAATAATCACTTTATATAGGCATTCTTGCAGATTCAAGGTCGCCAATTGAGAACTTTTTTATTTAGAATTGAGATGGGTTTCAGGTGCAGACCCAGATAAGCAACAAAGATGATTTTTCTTGGGTCTTAATCAGTTTTGCAGGGAGAACGTGAGTTTTGTAATGGATTACCTCGTTTAAACACGAAAATTTATCTGAAGATTTACCAAATGAATTGTTCATATTCATTTGGAAGAATAAGCAGAAAATGAAAATGAATTGAAAGTTTATGATGCAAAAATGGCAGATTTACTTTTAGAAAAGTTTCATGTGGGAGAAACTAACTGCAAATTCCCTATGGATGAACACGTTGACATTTTTCCTCAAATTATTATCATCAAACAATAACAAATGGGAAGGCTCATGTTGTAAAACAATGAATGCTATAATTTTAATAAAATTAATTAGTTGATAAAAAATTTATAATTTTAATGTATACATTATTTAAGGCACACTTTAGATTTTTGCCCTGGGCCTCAGATTACCCGGGGCCGGCTCTGGGCGCAGTGCGTGATTAAGCTGCTTGGAATGCCTACTTCTATCATCAGTGACCGTGATCATGTGTTTATCAGCGGGTTTTGGAAGGAATTCTTTCGTTTACAAGGTTCTAAATTGTGCATGAGTTCTGGCTACCATCCTCAAATAGATGGCCAAACTGAGGCGCTTAACAGATGTTTGGAAACTTATATGCGGTGTTTTTCGGGTTTACAACCAAAGCAATGGGTTCAATGGCTTCTGTGGGCTGAGTGGAGTTATAATACTTCCTTCCAAGTCTCGGCAAAAATGACCCCATTTGAGGTTGTATATGGTCAGCCTCCTCTAACAGTGCCGATCTATGAAGCAGGCACCACTCAATTGGATTTTGTAGACCGTAGTTTGGTTGCTCAAGATCGAGTACTCTCCCTGTTACAGGCTAATTTGCTAGCTGCTCAAACTCGTATGAAGGTTCAAGCAGACAAGCATCGAATTGAGCGGGAGTTTCAAGTCAGTGATTTGGTTTATTTGCGTCTGGTACCTTATCAGCACCTTTCCTTGGCTTTTCCATAAGTTGCAGCCGAAATTTTATGGCCCATTTGAAGTTCTTTCTCGAGTGGGCACTGTTGCTTATCGTTTGAAGTTGCCTAGCTCTTCTAAATTTCATCCTATCTTTCATGTTTCATCCTAGCTCTTCTAAACCCAGCCATGGGAGAGGCATGGAATTCCTGGAGTATTTTGGAACGCCACTCATTGATAGGAGGAACGAACAACCTGTCCTTGTAGAAGAGGGTGTTATCGTGCCATGAAAATCCCTTTGGTAGGGGGAGGGTGTTGGCGCAGAGGCGCTGGATAATCAGCTGTGTATCAGGGTCTTTATGACAGTCCTCCTTGATAGCATCCAAATATGTAAAAATTGGTTGAGAGATGCCTAAGAGAGGGAGGAGTTCATGGCGCCGTGACAAAGCATCTGCAGCAGAGTTTTGGGAGCCAGGTGTGTAATGGAGCACAAAGTTGTAACCCATTAGTTTGAGCAACCAACGTTGTTGGACCGGGGTAGTAATACGTTGATCCAAGAAGTGGTGAAGTGTCTGGTGGTCCGTGATGATACGGAATTGTTGGCCAAGAAGGTAGGGGCGCCATTTTTGAATTACAAAAATGACAGCCATCATTTCTTTTTCGTAGACGGATAGTGCCAAATTCCTTCCTAACAGAGGTTTGGAAAGAAAAGCAATTGGGTGGTCATTCTGTGAAAGAACAGCGCCCAGTCCTCCCTGAGAGGCATCACATTCCACTGTAAACTGTTTGGAGAAATCGGGCAGTTGAAGGACTGGTGTAGACGAAAATGCAGTTTTAAGGGCAGCAAAGGCAGTGTCGGCTTCATGGTTCCAAACAAAATTGTCCTTTTTGAGTAGCTGTGTGAGTGGGCGAGCAATGAACCCAAAGTTCCTCACGAATTTGCAGTAGTAGCCTGCAAGTCCGAGAAAGCCGCGTAGAGATTTTGGGGAAGATGGCTTGGGCCATGTTTGAATGCAATCTATTTTAGTTTGATCCACTGCAACGCCTTGGCAGGAAATGATGTGGCCTAGGTACTCGATCTGTGGTTGGGCAAAAACACACTTGGACCTTTTTACAAAGAGGTGATTAGTTCTGAGAATCTCAAAAACAGATTGTAAGTGAGTGATATGATCGTGTAGTGAGTCACTATAGATTAATATGTTGTCGAAGAAGACGAGAACAAAACGGTGTAAGTGAGGGCGAAATAAATCATTCATCAAAGATTGAAAGGTGGAGGGGGCATTTGACAAACCGAATGGCATTACGAGGAACTCGTAGTGCCCATCATGTGTGCGGAAGGAGGTTTTGTGAATGTCATCAGTGTGCATCCGAATTTGATGGTATCCGGAGCGAAGGTCAAGCTTGGAGAAGACCGATGCACCGTGGAGTTCATCAAGGAGCTCATCTATAACAGGTATGGGAAATCTGTCTTTGATGGTGACAGCATTTAAGGCACGGTAATCGACGCATAGACGCCAAGAGCCGTCCTTCTTCTTGACCAAAAGAACTGGTGAGGAGTAAGGGCATGCACTCGGCCGAATGATGCCCATTGCCAGCATTTCGTGGATGAGGCTTTCAATCTCTGATTTTTTTAGATATGGGTATCTATACAGCCGAACATTGACAGGGGCAGCACCATGAATTAAGGGGATGCGGTGGTCAATATGGCGAGGTGGTGGTAGTGTGACAGAGGTGTTGAACAAGTCGGAGAAGGTATCCAAAAGGTGGTGAAGAGCGGGAGGTGTGGCAGTGGTAGTGGTGTCATCATGGTCTGGTATGCATGGGATAAGCTGTGCCAAGAAGCCCTCTTGTTCAGCCAAGAGAGTGTGAGCCATGAGTTTGGCATCAATTGCAGTAGTGGAAGAGTGTTGGATACTTGTCAAGCAATAGGAGTGTTCGCCCAGGTGGAATTTCATAATCTTATTCTTGAAATCCCATTCAATAAGACCCAATGTCTCGAGCCATTCGGCGCCCAAGAGGAGATCGCAACCAGCGACGGGTAAGAGTTTGAAATTAGAAGTAAGAGAATAATCTTGAATCTGGACAGAGAGGTTTTAAGTGGTGCCTTGCGTGAGTAAATGCTCCCATGTGGCTGTGTACAGGGTGTGGGGGGCAGAGCGATCAATTGGTAAGCCCAAGCGTGTAGCAAGGCATGGGTTGAGGAAATTGAATGTGGCTCCGGAATCTATGAAAATATGGATTGGAACATTATTGATGGTGCCCTGTAAACGCATTGTGCGGGGATAATCTGGACCTTGGATTATTTGGACTGTGAAGTCAGTAGGAGGATCCACGGGCACCTGCTCTGGAGGAGCCAGCTCTTGGTGACAGTCATGAAATACCGAAGAGTC